TTACAAAATGCTATCTAAGAAAATCAATGGTTGCTTCAATGATGCATTCAGAATATCAAAACACAAATGCAGTACTTATTCCACCCAGACCAAGAAATATTTTATACAGATTTTCAAAACCCATCAATCATTTAAATCGGGGTTAACAACCCATTATATTTTAACATTGAAACGCAAAAAAATTCAACAAATGCATGAAAAAGGTGTTCACAATATGAATCCTTTCGACTTGTGTGAATATTTTCAGCAAGCTCTCCTCCTCTTTCTCGGATACTTTGCAAAGAAAATTGCAGAAACTCAGCACCCTCTCTTGCACTGAGTGGAGCTCCGAGAAGGCAGACCAAAGAGCGAATGAGAGAGACAGGTTTTCAAAACCTTTGTGATGGCCTGAGAAGACAAAGTTTGAGAGACAAGAAATGAGAGGAAGAGAGGGGCTGCACTGTAGAAGACAGAGTGCTTGCGAGTCAGAGGAAAAAGGGGCAGTTTTGGAAGAAATGGTTAAACCCCATTTATGCAGAATGGGCTTGCACTGGGGATTTTTTGAGAAAAAGGAGATGGATGCATTCATTATTCATGCCAAAAAGCGGGAGAGAGAGAGAGAAGAGTGAACTCTGGGAGAGAGAAGAAAGAAGAAGAATAGATATCTGGCGGAGAGAAAGAAGAAGAAGAAAGAAAGAGAGAGGAAGGAAATAAAATATATATTTTTTATAATTTTTGATTGATTTGACGATTATATCCTTGGATTTAATTGTTTTTTTGACAGAGGGACTATTTAAGAGCACTCATATTAACGTTAGGGACCATGAGTGATACAAAAAAACTTTAAGGATGCAATCTGATAGTTTCGTAAACGTCAAGGACGTTTTGTGATAAAAAGCCTTTATAAAAAGACTTAATTTTCTTTTTAAATTTTTTATATGGATTTTAAGTTTTAAAATATTTTAAATATATTTTATATTTTATTTTCTATACCATTGGATGTGTGGGCTCCGCATATATGCCACATCATCAATTTAACAGAAAATTTGACGGAAGTTAACTACAAGGACCATTTTGATGTGTGGAGGGTAACGTTAAGGACTATTAGTGTCACAAAAAAACCTTAGGGACGAAAGGTGATAATTTCACAAACCTGAAGGACCATTTGTGATAAAAAACCTTGAAAATATTATATTCTAGATTCTTTTGGGATAATGTTGAACAAATTGAAAGTCTATCTCCATGTTCACATTAATAAAAACATTACAATCAGGAAATTTGCAATTTCCATAATCATGAGGACAGAGCTAATATGAAAAACTAAAGGGTGTTGATAATTTACAAAATTTGACTTCATGAAGTCCACTCTTACAATGGTTAGAGATTTTACAAAGTTAGTACTGAATTTCTCTCTCTTTAATGATAAAAGAAAGATATCTCAAATTCCTAATCCCTAGTTTAACCAAAATAAAATGGAGTGTAAGTAGATAAAATTGGAGTGGGGAAATCACCACTCAAAAAAATATATTTTAATCCATAGCTGATGGGGATCGGCACCATTGTAGAGAACAACTGAAGCACTACCATATCTGAAAATGACCCAGGCTGCTAGATAATAGGCCTCTCTCTGCAACCCATTTGCTCAATCAATTTGATAATGTCAAGGCAATGCTCAGGTTCCTCTTTCTTTACTAGGATCTCCAGATATGGTAAAACTGCAGCCTTTTCCTTGATGTCATTGTGTCTTAATAGGTCAGAGAACAGTTCTTCACCTTGTTCAGCCCTGCCTTCACTATAAAGACCCTGAATCACTGAACAGTATGATGAAACAGATGGAACAAAACCATGGTTCAGAATTGTTTTCATGAAGTCCAGACAGTGATCATATTGGCGTTCCTTGCAGTAGCGGTTGATGAGAGCACTAACAGCTTTCTCAGGAAGCAGACCGCGTTTTAGTAAATCTTTGGTAATCTGATCTGCTTCAGCAACTCTTGCCTCCCGGCATAAACCCATAACAACAAAGTTGTACAAATCTGTTGCCGACCCACCACATCTTTTGATCTTTTCTTCAAGACTGAAAGCATGTTCGATCTCCATATTTCTAAAAACATGTCTGGAAATGCAATCATCATTAGTGTCCCTTGAAGGTAATGTTCCAGCATCTACAAAGTTGGAAGAACTAACTGATCTTGCTTCTTCCTTAGCCTCGCTTGACAAAACAGAACCTACAAGGAGCGCTGAATAGATTCGAGTGCTTGGTTGATAACCTTTTTGAACCATAACACGCAGAATCTCATAGGCATGATCCAACCTACCAGCATTAACAAGAGCTTTAATTAATACAGTATATGTAATGTGGTTTGGAGGTATCCCGAAATCAGACATACTAAAGAGAAGGATTTCAGCTTCCTCCACTCTTCCATTTTGGCAGAGGCCATTGATCACAACGGTATAGGTGTAGACATTTGGAGGGCAGCTAGTCTGCCTCATCAAATCCAACATTTTCAGTGCACAGGTAATCTCACCAGTTTGGCAAAGCGCATTGACTAATATTGTATAAGTCACTACAGACGGAACTGATCCATACTTTACCATCTTCCCCAACATTGCCTGCGTTGCATGCACCTTATCATCTTTGCTGAGAACATCAAGAAAACAATTGAATGTGTGTGCTGTTGTCAAGGTCCTCTTCTCTACCATCTTCCCAAAAAGCATTGATGCATTTCCAATTTCACCAATCTTGCAATACCCATCAATAAGAGCTGTCATAGTAACTTCATCAGGGGAAATACCCTTCTTTACCATTGAACCTAAAATGCTGATTGCATGCCCTGGTCTCCCTTGTTTACAGATCCCATCAATTAAGGCAGTGAAAGAAAAACAATCTGGTTCAAGACCAAATGAGCTCATTGACTTAAATGTTTCAAAAGCCAATCCAAGTTGGCCTTCTCGGCAAAAGCCATCAATTAAAATATTGTAAGTTACTCTGTTAGGCAACAAACCATTATCAACTACTCTTTTCAAAAGAAACATGGCTTTGTAAGTTTTATAAACTTTGCATAGCCCTTCCATGAGCTCATTGTAGGTACGAATGTTAGGCTTACATTGTCTTTTCTCCATCACACCAAGTAGCTCAAAAGCAGAAATCACGCGCCCTTCTTTGCAGTATCCATTTATCAGTGCATTGTAAGTTACTGTGCCAGGAAAAAGCCCATCTTTAAGCATCTTTCTAAACATTGCATTGGCCTCCTCAGTCTTTCCTTCTCTGCATAATCTATCAATCAATATGGTATAAGTATGAACATTAGGTTTACAACCCTTTGAAACCATCTCATCAAGCAAACCTAGAGCCTTATCAGTTGACCCAATGTCACACAAAGCCTTGATGAGTACAGTATAAGTCCGAGTAGTCGGCTGGCAGCCCTTCTCACTCATCTCTTTTTTCAAATGAAAAGCTTCATCAAGTTTACCAATCTGACAATAACCATGAATCAATATAGAGTACGTCACGGAATTAGGTCCACAGCCACCCCCTTTAGACATTATATCAAACACCCGGGAGGCCTCCCGGAGATTACATTCTCTACAATTACCCAACACCAAAGAAGTACAGATATGAGTGTCCAACTGAAACCCAAGTTTTAAAACCATGCACAAGAACATTTCAGCAGATTGCACAAACCCATTCTTGCATAAAGCATTAATTATAGTCCTGTAGTCAATAACACCAAGAAGAAACCCATTGTCTACCATTCTTTTATACACCAAGAATGACAAAAACCCCAAATCCAAACTAGCTAAAGACATCAAAAGACTACTATAACAAGGATAACTCAACCAAAATCCGATCTTTCGCATATTATCAAATGCCTCCATCAGCTTTAGAATCTCAGGCTCACTATTACTGAACTCCTTGATTAACAAAATGATGGCTTTTTGTGCAATCACATACAAATCAGAAGAAGACACCATCAAATTCAACAGAAGAATTCTATTATCAAAATCATAACAATAAGTAGAATGCTTGCAAACCCACTTGAAAAACCGTACCCCAAGTTCAATGTCGTTGCCGTGAAGCTGTAAAACCTTGGTAGCTGCATATGGGGCCATGTGAGAGACCAGTGACTTAAGAAGATTGCTCCTTTCCCAATTGGGTTGCTTAAGAAAAGCTGATACTCGAGAGGTTGTGTCATCTAAGCTTTCTGGGATTGCTTGGCTGCGTGAAGATTGATATGAGACAGAGGAAAGCGAGGGAGGAAGTTCAAACAAGTAAGGAGCTCTCGAGAGGACGTTTAGGATCTTATTTGTGCGAACGAACATGCAGAGACTGAGGAGTGAGATGAAGATAAACTATTTTTCATTTTGCAAACTGAAAATAAGGGCTGTTTTGGAGGGGCGTCTTCGAGTATTTCAAAAAATATATATACTTTTTTCTTTTTTATTTCTGTGAGCCTCCACCTAGAAACCCTTTAGCTTGGAGAAGAAGAACATCTTCAGTACAATTTTCTGGCTAATGGGCTTGTCAAATTTGGGTCATAAATTGAACTCGGGCTTTACTCAATAGAACAATAGCCCTCCTCAACTTGGGTCGTGGTCGCTTTGTGATGTGCCCCGTAGTTTAGGTTAAATTAAAATAAAATATGTTTTTATATATACAGTTATTCTCTTATCTGGATGTCCGCACGTTATTATCGTGCGGATTCTATTGTAAACAGGCAGGAAAACAAAGAGGGGTAGGAGAGATTTCTGTTTATATATATATATATATATATATATATATATATATATAAAAGTTTCCCATGTCGCTCTATTTTTAGTGTCAAAGTTTGTAAATTACTCTTAAATATATTGTCATGTGTTTTTTAAACAAGCGATAGTCTAAACTATAAGGGGATGTGTTTTCTCAAAAACACTATCAAGGTGTCATGGGGCATCGAACTTGAGACCATTAGTCTGCAAGTCAATGTCTTTTTTCATTGGTTAGACCCTGTTGGCATATTGCGATGTTTTAGTACTTTCTCTTTTAAGCAAAAGCTCTCCAATCTTGTTGACCACAATGCAAAGTGAACGGGGAACTCAAAGCATCATCATTTACAGCAATATGGTAGCACGAAATTATAACCGCGCATCACTGGATGCATTAATACACAACCTTCTCATTTAGCTACATAAATTTGGGCAGTTCTAAGCAAAGTATCAACCTAAGGCTCCACAATTATCTTTCCAGTAGCATGCCCATCAATGCTCTTAGCCCAAGCGTCCTCTGCCTTGGTCAGGGGATACTTTGAATCTATTATTGTCTTGAGCTTCCCTTCTCTTACCAACTTAAGAAGATAATCCAGGTTCTGAGCCTTGGGAGATAAGAGCAGTGGCACCAGTTGCTTCTTGGAAAAGGTAAGTTTTCCCAAAGCAAAGTTCGCTACGGCACTGAGGCCGGGAGTGATATCTATTACCTTACCATTTGCACTCAAATTAGGCTCAAAAGTTGACCAAGGAATGCCAGTTGCACAATGGATCACAGCATCATATTTTCGACCGGATGGACTCTTCAGAGTTGCTCCTTCTGGGGTCTTGTAGTCAATAACCTCATCAGCACCTAGGCTCTTGACCAATTCAAGGTTACGAGCTCCACAAGTGGCTGTCACATGAGTGTTTCCGAGCTTTGCTAGTTGAACTGCATAGAGACCTACACCACCCGAAGCAGCTGTGATCAGAATGTTTGCTTGCTCACCACTTCCATCAAGCTTGATTCCAGCAGATTGGATAAGGGCCTGGTGAGCAGTGAGACCAGCAACAGGTAATCCTACGGCAGAGGCTGCTGAAACTTCAGGTGGCCTTGCAGCGGTCAAGCTTTCCTTAGTCACGGCAAGCTCAGCTAGTCCACCTCCATTCTAAAATTCAATATCCATGAACAGACGAAACAGACAATCCGGCTTAGCATGTATCAATTAAATGATGCATGACATATTATAAGTGAGACATTGTACCACCTGGATTTCAAATTCAGCGCATTAGGAATGGTTTCTACATGCAAAAGTTCAGTTTCATGCCAACTGTAATGACACTAGGGAAAGAGGCACAAAATACCGACAAGGGGTTACTCGGGGTTTACAGACACAAGGATTCTGGTGGATCAATGGATACTACTTTACAAATAGGTAGAAAATTATTCATAGATGTTTTATGGAAAGAATAGCTATATTATGTTCTGAAGTATATACATGTTCACGTGAAATGGGGAACATTTTCATGTCAAGTGAACCAAAACATATGGAAACTTACAAGAGGGTTAACCATAGCTACAACTTTGTCACCAGCTTTGAATTTTTTCACTCCTGGTCCTACCTGTACAACCTCTCCTGCCACATCAGTACCTGTTCCAAATTTCAACAAGGAATATCTTCAGTCAACAGAACAATACTCAGAAAAAGATGGTCCAGTGAAAGTTCAATACATTTGGTTTTAAATCTCATCAAAGAAAATGCATACTCCTTCCCTCCCAAAAACACACAAAGGCCACCCCAGAAGCTATTTGGACCAAATGAATAAGAAAACAGAACATTCAAATGCAAATTATTAGCATGTTAAGGGTATACAGAACACTCATCCTACGTTTTCAAGACGAAGCTCAATATAATATTTGGAAAGAAGCATAATTAAAGAGGTGTAAACATGAAAAGCATCCCCTAGACAGCATAATGTCTCAAGAAGATAGCAAAACCAAATTACCAGGTATGTGTGGAAATCTGCGAGGCAACAATGGCCACAGCATGCCTTTCTGAACTTTCCAATCAAATGGGTTTAGACTAGCTGCCTCCAATTTCAGCAACACCTCATCTTTGATTGGATTGGGAATTGAAATTTCAACATGCTGCAATTAGCACCAAAATTGAGTGAGGGCCAACGACTTAACAATAATATGTTCTTCAATGCATAAACAAATTGAATGTTTCCCAAGTACAAAAGCTAGTCTGGGTTATTCTCAACCACAACCTCAACCCCTGGCCCCTCCTCCCCGCTCCCCCAACAGAAAAAACATGGAAAGGAGAAAACTCAGAAAAGCCTCTCCCTTTATATTTTCCTTCTTAACATTTCAAATATTCAATTACTCTAACAATAACGAGTACTTGAAAAAGGACCCATTATGTCACCTGCCCATTTCATTACAAGGTTTGGACACCATGTGAAAATGAGTTTCAATTAATTTTCTTATAGTGGAAAAGGGTTTTTCTTCAAGGACAATCAGAGAGTATAATTCAAGAGAAACAAAATGAGTAACCTTTAAGCCAGAAGGTCCTCCACCGTAGCCATCATACTGAACCGCATGCATAACATTTTTCGCCATGGCCTCAGTTTTGTTCAGAAGAGTCGACAGAACTTGAAGCTGCTCTCAGATTTTAAGAAGTAAGCTTGGGTGCACCGTACACCACCTGTGAGACATGTGAATTGACTAAATAGCCCCCGTCTATCGTGGAACAAACTCGTACACATGTATGTCACCCGCAACAGGGAAAATGTGTCATCTATAAACACATTCACTTCTCTTGACCATCAGAGTAACAGGAAGACTTTGAGTTATCTTGTTGATGAGGTTGTGCGACAGGAAGGTGAGGAGGAAGAAATAGAGTGGTTAGCGGCGGGATGGTATCATAAGATAAATACACATTGACCACAATGGCGTCGTTCCGTGCCTCACCGACTTCAATCTGGCTCGTCGTACTCCAACTTTCCAGATTCGGATCGTTGTGTGGGCTTCACACAGCTGGTATCATTGCTGCAACATTCGGCATGGCCAACCTAGTGGCTCGTCCCTTCGGAGGGTTTGCTTCTGATCGAGCAGCAGCCAGGTACTTTGGCATGAGAGGAAGGCTGTGGAGATGATTGCCAAAAGTCCCACATCGACAAAATAAGTGATCAAAGGAAGGTTTATAAGGACTAACATGACACTTTACATTGCCGAGTCTAGTAGCGTGGACTTATAACTAAGCAGGGCATTAACGTGATTGGTTGTTTGATTGAAACCCTCTTGAGTGAGGTATGGTGGTCTTGCGCTGTTCATCTATACCTCGATCTTTGATCTTGGTGGTGAAGTCGTACAAAGCACAACCCCAACCCTCCGGGGCTAGTAGGGTCCCCCAACCTCCAAGGTTGGGTAGCAAACATCAAAATGAGAATTTGACTGGGGGTTAGTTTGACCCCACAGACCGAGATCCCGTCGATCTTTGATCTTGGTGGTGAAGTCGTACAAAGCACAACCCCAACCCTCCGGGGCTAGTAGGGTCCCCCAACCTTGGGTAGCAAACATCAAAATGAGAATTTGACTGGGGGTTAGTTTGACCCCACAGACCGAGATCCCGCCATGCCTCAGTGTGCAGCCTGAGATGGGAACTCATCACACAATCACTTTTTCTCTCTAGCTCCTCCCATTTTAAACCTCTTATTATTATACAAGTGCTTGTTTTTCTTCCTTCTTTTGTGTTGGGAGTTATCTACAACAACCATCGTTCTTGAGATCCATTCAAATATGCCTAATCAAGTGTTTGTCCCACATCCACTTCAAATATATTTCATTTATTTTTATTTTTTGCTAGGAACAGAGTAGATTTGTTTCATGATTCATAACGCTTCTGCTTTCTATTTTCTTATTTATATTTCATTTTTGCTAGAGTCTCTAAACCCATATTACTTGTTTGGTAACTGATCTTTTTTGAGAGAACCAAATGAATTACTGTGAAATATAATCAACATGAAAATGAACAATAAATCCAAACCTCATTAGGAACAACATTGATTCATTTGGTTCAAGTATTTAAGAGTATTTAACCCTACATTTGAGGTCCTAAGTTTGATTTCCCCTCCCCAATATTGCTTGTATTAAAAAAAATAAACAAACCCCATAATATTATATGGGTTAATTACAATTTTGGTTACTGGAGTTTGGCTCAAAATCAATTTTAGTCACCATGATTTTAATTTTCCCGATTTCGTTACTATACTTGCAGTCATTAACAAATCAATTCCAAGCCTTCAATTCTGTCACTTTGGTAGGGGCTTTATTGTCCTAAAATTTAAATAAAATTTTAAAATCAAATATATAAAATTAAAAAAGAAAAAGACAACCACCCCATCCTAGCCTCTCTATCATATCCATCAAATCCCAACGACCAAAATTGTAATTACCCCATTAATTGCACATAACCATCTGTATCAAACGACTTCCATTATTTCGACCAAAAAACAAACGACTCCCATTAAAGACATGAAGTTTATATCCCACTACAGTTTTCTACTTAAGGCTCCACAATTATCTTCCCAGTTGCATGTCCATCAATACTCTTAGCCCAAGCATCTTCAGCCTTGCTTAGAGGGTGCTTAGAGTCGATCACTGTCTTGAGCTTTCCTTCCTTCACTAACTTGATAAGATAATCAAGGTTCTCACTCTTAGCACTCATGAGCAGTGGCACCAGCTGCTTCTTGGAGAAGGTGAGTTTGTTCTGAGCAATAGTAGCCCAGGTACTTGGACCAGGAGTAATGTTTATAACCTTCCCGTTGGCGCTCAAATTAGGTTTGAAAGTTGACCAGGGAATGCCCGTTATTGCACAATGGAAAACGATGTCATATTTCCTACCAGATGGGCTATTCAGAGCTGCTCCTTCTGGGGTCTTGTAGTCAAGAACCTCATCTGCCCCCAAGCTCTTGATAAATTCGATGTTACGAGCACCGCATGTGGCTGTAACATGAGTGTTTCCGAGCTTTGCTAGTTGGACTGCATAATGGCCCACACCACCAGAGGCAGCAGTAATCAAGACGTTCTTTTTCTGGCCACTTCCGTCGAGATTAAGCCCTGCAGCTTGGGTGAGAGCCAGAGCTGTGAGACCAGCAATAGGTAAGCCTGCACCTTGAGCTGCTGAAACTTCAGGTGGCCTGGCAACTGTCAAGCTCTCACTAGCTGTGACAAACTCAGCCATTCCACCTCCATTCTAACAAACAAATGAAATTTATAAGTGAAACTTGTTGCCAAGTGCAATAAATTCTTCAAGTAAGGGAGAGATTAACCAAAGGAATACAATGAAGGCTTACAGCGAGGGTGAGATATGCCACAACTTTGTCGCCCGGTTTGAACTTTTGGACCCCTTTTCCAACTTCTACAACCTCTCCAGCAACATCAGTAGCTGTTCCCAATATTTTCATTAGCCAATCAATGTTAACAAACCAACCTACCAGCCTAAGACTCACAAAAACTGCTTGTATAAATCACAAAACTCTTCTCGTAACATAGGAATGATGTTCACCCATTTTAAAAATCGAAGCACAAATTTGTTTCAGAATCCAACTAATTTATCTACTTCAACTCTCACAATACTACCACAAATGAATAAAAGTCTCAATGAGAGATTTTATTGAGAGTCGAGACGCATTAATCTGTAACCATTATGATCACTTCTTCAAAGAGGGCAATCTCTTTGGGACACGAGGGTATGCTTTATGTTCCAATGATGTAGTAATTAATAAAAATCAGGCAGTTTATTGATCAGTATGTTGCAGCTTATATGCTACCAAATGAATGATATGAATATAAGAAGGGGTTTAGGGGAACACCAGGCAAAACAGAACTTACCAGGTATATGAGGGAATTTGGGTGGAAAAAAAGGCCGCAACTTGCCTTTCTGAATTCTCCAATCAACCGGGTTTATAGTAGCTGCTTCCAATTTCAGCAAGATATCACCTTTCTTTGGAGTGGGCACTGGAACCTCTACATGCTGCACCAAACATAAAATATATTTAAAACAATTTATTAAGGTCTTTTTACACTTGCATGATTTCGTCCATGGATTTATTGCTTTCGAAAAGCAAAGAGGCACAAACAAGTAAACATTCAACACAACCCTGAAGCATTTTCTCACTGGTTGTTCAGTTTCTCTTTTTTCCCTTTGGGATTTCAAGGCCAAACATATTTTTGATGCACTCAGTTTTAAGCCTGAACTCTCCCACCACACTAAAAGTTGATACTTTTTTTTTTTCTATTTTTACACACCAGAGAATATTAAGCGGTTAACAAAATGTCAGAAGCAAAAATCACAGCCGGGAATGAAATATAAGAGAATTCTACGAAATAACATTGCTAGAAGAAACAAGTACATAAAGAAGGAACCTTTAAACCAGAAGCTCCTCCACCATAGCTGTTGTACTGAACCGCACGCATAAGCTTTGACACCATGGCTGCCAATGTCATACCCTGAGTTAGCAGAGACAGACGAGAGAGAGAGAGAGAGAGAGGGGACGTGTTAATAGATTCTTGTGGAATGGTTTTGACGTATATATAGGCTGTGCTTTCTTTGAAAAGTGCTATAGGTTGTGCTTTCTTTGAAAAAGTTTTGATTTTTACAATGTGTTGGCCGAAAATTGAATCAATTTTTTTTTTTGAAAAATTCTGATTGCCGTTTTGAACCAAACTTTTACAATTCAATTTTTAGAGGCAAGTTCTACTCATGAACTCGCATTAGTATCACAGCAGCATCATAGCAAGTGGCACTCAAATTAGGCTGAAAAGTTGACCAAGGAATGCCTAATGGATCACATCACAGCATCATATTTTGGACCAAATGGAGATGGACTCTTCTCTTGTAGAGCCGCTTGCTCCTTCAGTCTTGACCAAGTCAAGGCTGCGAGCTCCACAAAAGTGCGAGTGGCTGTCACATGACGTACGTGTGAAAATTGGCGAGGCAACAAAGTCCACAGCATACCTTTGTCAAACTTTCCATTCCAATCTAATGGGGTTGACTTTAGACTAGCTGCCTCCAATTTCAGCAACACCTCTCCCTTGATCTTTGTTTGGATTTGAAATTTCAACATGCTGCAATTAGCACCAAAATTGATTAAGGGCCAATGACTTAACAATAATATGTTCTTCAATGCATAACAAAGTATATGTTTCCTTTCCAAGTACAAAAGCTAGTCTTGGTCATTCTCAACCACAACCTCCACCAAACCCCTACGAGAAGAAAGAAGAACTTGCATGTCATGGGGATAGCACTGTTTTGACATCCCCAATCAATTACGTTATGCCACGCATGATATGTGCTATCCATGTGACATGCAAGTTTTTCTCCACCCGTACCCCTTCCCCCAACAGAAGAACATTAGCAAAATGAAAGGAGAAAACTCAGAAAAGACTCTCCCTCTATCTTTTCCTTCATAACATTTCAAATTTTGATTTTGTAATACCCTCAAAAATAATATTTGGTTTTATTATTTTTGTGGAAAATATTATTAAGTCGTGTCACTATTTTGGATGTTGTATGATTTTGGTTTGGTGTGGAAATATTGGAATTAAGTGACTTAATCTCAATTTGGGACAAAATACCTTTATGATTAAGTTTATGATTTTACAAAGGAAGTACAAGAAATTGAAGCGAGAAAATTATGATTTTTGATTTGGAAAATCGAGATTGATCTCACGAACGCGTAGGCGCAAACGGTTCGTGAATCCGAGTTGAAACGAAGAAGTTATGCTCGTTTGAAGTTTCAGGGACTAAATTGCAAACAGAGACTTTGCCTATAAATTTAATATGGACACTGTTTGGATTCATAATTTGCAATTGAATCCGGAAGTTTGAGAGCTC